AGTTTAATTGCATTCATAACAATTGTGATTATTTTAATCGCCCGAAACAAACAAACTATTGAACCTACACCTAACATCAATTTATGCCAATCGCCTGTATGTAAATCCGCGGGAATGGCACTGAATGTAAATCTCAACGAATCGGTCGACCCGTGCCATGACTTCTATGCGTTCGCGTGCGGGGGTTGGGAGGCGTCCCATACATTGCCCGACGATAATAAATGGTACGATAGTATTGTTATACTCGATGACAATGTTTCCCACGCTATAAGGATATCGTTGAGTAAAAACTGGTCGACAAGTAATTCAAATGCTGTGACCTATGCCTCTGATCTCTATAAGGCGTGTATTGATGAAGGTTTCGGACATTCATTTCATTTGTAGTCAATTATTAATAGCTTATTAATAATTGAGTTGTATTTGTATAGAAACACGTAATGCCAGGGGAATGACCCCTCTCATTGAGGCACTTAAATCAGTGGGCGGTTGGCCTATAATGGGACAGTCGGGTGGCTATAATGACAGTGAATTTGATTGGAAGGACGCGTTTGTCAAACACGTTATCACATCTGAATCCTCGCCGGTATTCGCGCTGTCAGTTTCCGGCGACTCTATGAATAGTCTCGTGAATCGCATTCATGTAAGTATTCATTACTTTGTTTAATATATAATTTAAATGTTCAAATCTAATGAATTTTTAGTTCTCGAGGCCAACATTAGGTTTGCACCGGAGTCATTTTCTAAATCCACACGATTATATTGATTATATTAGAGGCTACGTGGAGTATATGCTTCAATCGGCACTACTATTGGGCGCCGAGTATAGCACACAAACTAAAATAGACATTGATAATATAGTGGAGTTTGAAACAAAATTGGATCAGGTAATTTAATATTTAGCATTTTAATTAAAGAATCTGTAAATTTACTTTTATTCTAGTTTTCACAAACGGATGTGTTTTACGAGAAGGTATCCTTCAAAAAGTTTAATGAAATGACGGATAATAGTGTCGATTGGCTCAACATAACAAACACTGTATACAAGGAATTGAATGAAACTATTCGTATGAAAAGCGATGATATGGTGATCGTTGAGGATAATTATTATTATATGAATGTAACACAACTGTTGACCACAACTCCCAATAGAGTTATTGCCAACTATTTCGGCTGGAAATTAATTATGAATTTGGGCTCACATACCACTAAACAGTTCAGGGATATTAGATTCAAATTCAACCAATTATTTACTGGAGTGGAAAAGGATGTCGAGTTGTGGAGGAGCTGTAAGGCCAGAATATCATCTCAATTGCCATACGTTTTGAGTCGCCTATACGTCGACCAACATTTCGCACAAAATGATAGACAACAGGTTTGTTATAATTTTTAACACATTATATACAATATTCATTAACTCTTAAGATACTGAAGTTTTTATGCATTAATTTTGGCATTAATTTAGGTTTTAAGGTATATCCGAGACGTTAAGAAAGCTTATTATGAGTTGATTGAAGGGAAAGGCTGGTTGGATATGATCACCAGATTACGAGCTTTACGTAAATTAAATACAATGAATGAACTTGTTGGATACCCCGATTGGGTGCTCAATAATCATGAACTGGACAACTTTTATCAATTTGTATTTTTCAGTGAGAGGTCATTCAATAAGTAGGTACTCAAAAATTTGTACAAAAATCTATTCCCTACTTAATCCCCTCGTAAATAGGACTTTAACATAATTACACATGTCTAGGCTGATCCCCCTCTCCCAACCAGTGCGTACGTACTTATTGAATAATCGCTAATCATTATTTGTTATAATGTTTATCGTTTTACTGACTTAAATATAAATCTACAGAAACATAGAGTGAATCCCAAGAAGTCATTCGAGGCTATGGTTTATATACAAAGCAATTGTGTCGCACGAAATATGCGATCAATTGGACAGCCCGTGGACATCACTAGAGAGCAAGTATTTATGTAACAAACTAATTGATTACTTTAATTATGCTTTACTTACCCAGATGGCCAGGCTCAACCATCGAAGTAAACGCATATCACGACCACAAATCCAATTCAATCAGTAATAAACATATAAACAGTGGTTAAATGAATCACTTTTAAAATATGATAAATTCATTCAATAAAATAATTTAGTTTTAGTGTAGCATGATGACATTATAAATATTTTGAAAATCTATTTGCTTTGATTATTTGATTTAAATAGTTAAGAAATATTTTAAAAATCATATTTATTTATTTTCGTTTATTTTTACTAAGTATTCCCGGCTACTATTCTGAAGCCACCCTTTCTATATAGCAACGGTCCGGCTGCTATCAACTATGGGGCCATTGGATCGGTAATTATATTTTAATAATACCGTACTGTATGGACAAGGCTATTTGTTAAATTACACAAATTGTTACAGACTATTGGACACGAACTTACCCATGGGTTTGATGGTTGGGGTCAGTATGCATTGATGTTTAACATTTCAGTAAGATTCATATGTGATATCATACCTAGGTCTTAAATACGATTCAGAGGGAAATCTAAATAATTGGTTCACTATATATTCAGATGCAAAGTACAATGAAAATGCAAATTGTTTTGTCAAACAATACTCGAGTGAATACGTGCCGGAAGTTGATATGAATGTATGCCTAGAAATAGTGGGGTTTGGGATGTGTTTCGTATATTAAGTGTTAATACAGTTGTCATGAATTGAATGATTAGTTGAACGGAAGGAATACTTTGGGAGAGAATATTGCGGACAACGGAGGCCTCAGAGAGTCGTTCCGCGCGTTTCAGACGTACGTCAAGACATACGGAGAACCACAACGACTGCCATATGTCTCGCAATACACACCACAACAGCT